AGAAGCACTGCTGAGAGATGTCTCTTCTGACATGACACTAACGTAGTTCTGCTTTCACTTGCAGGTTATTTACGCATTCACCATAAACACAGAGCAAGCCAATTCGAGGAAGCTTAGAAATGGTTGATTTGCATTATAGCTAAAAGTCAGAGATCGTGTGAACAGCAGTACCCTGAGAATCTAGTACTAATTTGAATAATATTTCAAAACCTTATTTTGATAAGCGTCATTCAGAAGATTTGTGCAGAAAGCTTTACTGAGATAAATGTCGAAGATAACATTATTATTCTTGTTGCCTCTGATGTACGCAGCAGTTGATAACAAGACGATTTCCTTTTTCTGACGGATGATTACACACAACAGATGTTTTAATTTGATTATATCTATGAGATAAGGATAAATGCTGTGTTAAGTCCAAACACATTTTATAAGTTTTTCAAAACATTTTACAATGAATGTAACCTTTTGTAAATGTCCTTGCTTGAGGCTGCATGTGTTCTCACAATGGTGCAAATTATCAATAACGAGTTGAAACCAGTGATTATATGAAAGAAGAAAACTACATTTAACAGTAGCTGTAATTCTGTGCTCTATGATAACCTAAATTAAGAGAGAAATATTATTCGAATGGTGATACAGGGCACAACCGTTTCAAACTGCTCCAAAGAGGACAATGTGTTCTTCAGCCAATGATACACAAGACATCCTTTTATCAAGGATTCTGAAAGGATAATGCTCCATGCCAAGCACCCTCATTTTGAAAATTAGCAGGCAAATGCCAATTTTGTGAATGCAGCACTGCAGTGAACAGAGTTTTTATCATTTGAGTTTCAAATTATATAGGCTTACAAAATTTGACTTTGATTTGAACTGAAATGCCAAAATTTCTCTGGAAAATAAACTTTTTGCTTAAGTGCAGTGAAATCAAAGTGTCAGATGTTGTTCCATTGTTCTTTTTTTTATACATAACATGGTGAGAACAAAAAAAAAATTCAAACTAATAGTCTGTTTCAAAACAAAACACAATCTGTATCACAACAAAAACATCAAAATGGGGCATCTCAGTGGTTCAAGCAGATTTCCTATTTTTATTTTGAAAGTAGTTATGACACAACATGTCCAGAGTCATCAGTGTTTTTAGTTGGGTCAAGATACTTATTCCAGTTACTTCATTAATAGTTTCAGTAAGGCAATATCAGCATCCTATGTACCTGGTTGCCTTGTGTCATTCCAAAAAATCACAGGCATTAACTCCAATGACTGCCAACAGGTAAAGCACCTTGTAGCTTACTTTATGTGATGTATACAATTCAAAGAGTATTTTCTTTAGGATTCATGTCATCTAACATCAGTTACCTAACAAATAGATGTCTGGGCTAATTACGCTCCCTCTCATCAGCTCATTAAAATATCTAGACTCCTTTCCCTCCTTGGATGACCAAGGGAATGTGGGTGACCTAATAGCCTGCTGCCACCATAATGGCAATTCTGTTAATCCAGCATTTGTCCTCCATCCTTTGGTTATTGAACCTGATCTGGGACTATCCCATCACAGTGAAACAAACAGGACTGCTCCATCAGATTGTGAGAAAGGCAATGGGTTTTCACAGCCATCTCCTGGAACTTCAGTCCAAGGCTAACTTTTAGGCAGCAAAGTAAGTTGAGATGTCTTATCCCACACCATAAATATCAGCTCTACACAGACATGAATATTATGTCATGCTAGTGCAACTGTATAGGCCTTACTTAATTCTGCTTTCGGGAACTATCTTGTTCTTGGATTCTTACATAAAACAACACTGGAGTTAATAAACCAATCAAAATAATTGCTTTATTGTGGACATCAGCAGCTTGTGGCTGTGAGCAGAATGGTTTTGAATGGAGTGTATGTTAAGTACAGTGAAACAACAGCTTTTTAGTAACAATGCATCTTTTGTAGATGCTTGAAAGTGTTTTTCTGTGAGGATAATGCTGTAGTTCACATGGGATTTTGACAGAAATAAGATACCGAAAGCTAGAAAATACTTAGACTAACAAAGAGACATCATTTATACTTGGTAGTTTTATGGACTGTTTTAAAAGCCATACTTAAGACGTGCAGCAAAGAGCAGTTAGCATGTTTTCACTAGGAGACCCTGAAGTACAAGAGGTTATAAATTGCTTGTGCTCTCAGTATATATTTGAAAGGCTCAGAAAGAAAACACAATATTCAGTGCTTTGATATTTTGCCTTTTTGAGTGAGGAACTGAAAGTAGCTGTCTTACCTTACCCAGTCAGGCTGGAGATTATTATTTACACCTTTAATCTCCCACTCCTTGAAGAGGACTCTTTCTCTACCTCAATCAGGCTGAGGTTAAATACTCACAGTTTCAATCAAAAAGAAACTGCTATCTGAAAACAGGGAACTGGGAGCTATGAACAAGGAAATGGAAAGAAATTACCATTACAATTGTTTCATATATTTTGGTTGTCCAGGGAGTCCTGATTAAACTGCATTTGGGTCCTAACAGGGAGGTTTGTAGTACTCAAAAAGGCAAAATATGAGTTTTCACTAATAAGCCTGTCTGGGATAAATCTGTGAAGCAAAGTTGGCTTTACTTCAACTTCCACACAGGCTACTAGTGGCAATGATACTACTCTTCCCCTGAGCATATCCAGGTAAAATTTCCTTCCACTTTCTAGTAACATCTCTCACTCTCATGGATTCTCTGAACATCCAAAGCGCAGCTGTAGCACAATCCTCACTGCACGGTGTATCTGTAAAAATAAATGTAGTACTTACATGGAAATAGCAAATTCCTGAAGTCCACTTGTACTAGACTCCTCACTTGCTGGGTAACAGGTGCCATATCACCTCATGTGAGAGAAGGGCCAGTGATGCCTGGCTGCACCCAAGGATTTGAGACTATTGGAAACCTAAGTGCAACCCCTCCCAAAGCCTCCATCTACTGCAAGCCCCTCACCTACTGCCAGACCCTGGATGAGAGAGACTGGGCAGAATATGGCTATATTGGAGAAGAGCCATAGCACTTATGTGAGGGAGAGAGATGCAAGTGACACAGAGTCAGGCTTGCAAAGTCACACCTGATTTGTGACAGGTTTGAATAGTAATACTAAATCTGTACTTATTTGCTTTTAAACTTGTTTTTTATGTTGGAAGGTAGTCACCAAAAACTAACAGGAGAGTTCAGCACACACAGCCAACTTTCTAAGCAAATAGCAGCTCTTTGGCACCTGCAACTTGACAGCTCTGAGGAGAGAGAAGTGTACAGCATGCAGTATATACTTGTGTGAGTTGAGAAATGCTTTTGTTTAAGTGGATACTGAAAACACAGTCACATTCTAGCACATAGCTGGTGGACAGGAACTGATAAGAACACTCCCGTCTGTGCTCAAAGGGGAGTCTGCAACTTTTCTTATCTCTGGAGGGTGGCGACCACCACCTGTTTGAGTGAATCTTGACTATATAAAAAGAGGATGAGGGAGAGGAAAATGCTCTTGGAGAGAGGTTTATGAGACGTTGTACCATAAACTGAGACTTCATGGTGAAAATATGTGTTTAGGGATTGTTTAAAACTAAGTTTACATAAAAGCACAATGATTTTTTTTTAAATGTCTGTTACAGGCCAATTAAATTCTTTACGCAAACATTTCCAAATTCAAGCATTTCCAAATTCAAACAGAGTAAAACAGAGATGATCTGGGACATCCAGAGCATAATTACATCTATTCCCCCTGAGGGCTTAGCCCTCTTTCTGAAATACCCAGATCTGTATCTCTAACTACTGTTGTAACCAAGACAAAAGCGAATCACCAACGTTGGAACAATCGCCCTCAAATTATCCCCATGTGCATCAGTTTACCCTTCAATCAATGCCCAGCCATTTAACTCGGAGAGGAAGGAAGACTGTGAGCTGGAAATGGTTCTCAATACAACTGCTGGCTACGCAGTGGCTGGATTTATACTGGCAGGGAGCTCAAGCTTTATTCAGATTCAAAACTGAATGGTTCTTACAGTCTCTGACAGGGCCATGAAAAGCTGGAATCACTGGCGTGGTCCTACTTTCTGAATCATAGGTGCAATTCCCTCTTGCAGAAAAGGCAAAATATCTGGTAGAAGTTCCTTTGGAGAGGGATGGAGACGAACTTAATTTGTGTCACCTACACAGCATTGGAGATAAAGTAATGTACAACCAGCCTATTTGGAAGCAAAATAAGCAGCAGGTGACAAGTTGTTCCAGTCAGCTCCAACATCTGGAAGCTGAGTGCCCAGCTAGTCTATGTGAATATTTCCTGCTGTTACCCTGACTTCAACCTCCCCGGCTCCCTGTTTTAGTTCATCTGGGGGTTACGTCCTTCTTTCTGATACCGCTTCTGCAGAGGAGGAAAAAGGCTGCTGCTGCAGCATCGTTAAGGTCAGGGATACGGATGCGAGGAGGAGCTCTGCAAAGTCCCCATGTCCTAGATGACACGTCTGGGTCCTTTTCAACTCGCAGGGAGCGAGTAGTACCCCTCCGAGCTGGTGGTTTCCTGTCGACCTTGAGCCTCCTCGCAAGCCACGGTGCAGCTCCGGGCGGGTGGCTGTGCCCGGTCCCCGCCTCGGAGGGAGGCAGGCGCAGGGATCCAGCTGCACGTCGGGGCTGGCCCCGACGCGCTTGTGGTGGGAGAGCCAGACCTAAAAAAAAAAAAAAAAAAAAAAAAAAAAAAAAAAAAAAAAAAAAAAAAAAAAAAAAAAAAAAAAAAAAAAAAAAAAAAAAANAAAGAAAAAGGAAAGAAAAAAGGGCGAGAGCAGGGGAGGGGGTGACTGTGGGAAGGGGGAGAAGGAACTACTGTAAGAGTAAGAAAGTCCTGCCCAGCTGTTTGCGAAGTTTAAGATTTCCTGTTTCCCCTGCAGCGCCGAAGTGAAGTTTCAGTGAGTCACCCTCGGTCCCGAGCAGCGGAGCGGCGCGGCCCCGCTCCCCGCCAGCCCCGCCACCGCCGCCGCGGCCTCCCCGCCGCCCCCGCGCCCTGCCCGCGGCTCGCCGGCCGCGCCGATCCGGCTCCGCGATGACTCCCCGGCTGCCGAGCAGCCTGCGGCGGCTGCTGCTGCGCCTCTCCCTCTGGGCGCTGATGGGCAGCTCGGTCCCCGCTCTGCTCCGGGGTAAGTGCGCGCCGGCCCGCGCTGCCGCTTGACAGCTGCTGGGGCCGGGACAAGCGGCGAGGGACAGGCGGGAGGCGGGGGACACGGCTGCTGAGAAAGTTTTGAAGCTGGAAACATTTCGGGAGGGGGTGAGCGTGTTTGTGGATGGCCCTGCGGGAGAGTAAGCGGGGAAGAAAGGACTGGGAATCTCGGGGTTTCGCGGCCGAAGCTGAGATCCGTCCGTGGAGGGAACAGCGGGGAGAAAGGAGCGGATTTGGCAGGAAATCGGCGGGGTCTGCTCGGGCCGGAGGAGCCCGGAGAGGGCATCTGGAGCCTGCCTGCGGTGGCCGGGGAAGGGCTGCAGGCCCTGCCCGCAGCTGATGCGGCGGCTCCGCACCTGGTGGCGGCCCCGTGCGCGGGGACGGGCCGGGGGCGCGGGCCGGGAACCCGCGGCCCCTTCGCAGCGCTCCGGCCCCGGCGCCGCCGCTCCGCTGGGCACCGCTGTCCTGCACCGCCGCGGCCACGGCTGGAGGTGCCTCGGGAGGCTCTCAGAGCGTGGCCACAGAGCCCGCTGCCGTGGGTCTGCACTTGGTCACCAAAACCTGGGGTTCCTGAGTTCCTGAGAAGAGCGGAGTTTAGCCGTGCCTGTGAGCAGTTGGACTGAAAAGCACTCATTCCTCTAGCACCGACTGCGGATGTTGTTTGACTCACTTTAAAAGTGACACTTTGTAATCTTTACCCTGCTTCTAGCAAGACATCCTTAGATAGGTTTTTGGGGTCTGCGGCTTGCAGTATTCTTCCTATCATAATTTATAATATACTATGAGCTTAAAGTTCTGCTGGAAAAAACAAGATTCCTGCTCGGAGCAGCTTTCCGTCTCTGTTCTACTAGCAGTTACCCACATCTGTGAATTAACATCTGTAATATCAAGGTTAGGCCCTAAATCACGTTGCAGAACAAGTGGTGAACCTAAAAGGAGAACAGGAGATTGTAGCAAATGCATCTGAAACACTTGTGAAGAATTAAGTAGCTTTCTAAGATGTCTTGTAATGGCACATCTAGTTTTAGTCTTCAGGTAAGGTGTGCAGACACCTGGGCTTCTACAAACTTTTCCCTGGGCCCTCTGATTTTCCTGTCTGGTCCCTTCATGGTCAGTAGTTGATCCCAAATTTTGGCTGAAACATAATAACATGAAGCGGATGACTCTTCAACAGCTACTGCCTTTAGCTATGTGCAGTTCTTTGACTAACTTCATGCTTCATTAACAGCCCTGTCACAGTCAACAGGTTGTGCATACCTGCAAAGTTACTCATGAAAGCTTAGGGCAAAAGAAAAGAACAGGGTATGAATGACACTATGGTGTCCCACAGCTGTAAGTTATATTAAATTTGAGGTGTGTAGCTTCTTGTTAATTTTATATATATATATATTCTATAATTCTTCATTAACATAAACCATACGCAACTTGTGATGGCCTTTATTTTGACCACAGCCTCAAACTTTTGCAGATTCCCATCACAAAAAACTTTAATGGAGAAGCTCAGCTTTTGTTAATCTTGTGTTATTTATTATTATACTTTTTTATACTCAATCAGCTATAGACAGTCTCAAACTATGGGTAGATTTTTTAAAGTGGGCATGGCTCAAGAGTTTGCTCTTCTTTCTTGTCATAGGTTCAGTGAGGAAAAGAACACAAACTGGTTACAGTTCCAGCATTTTTCATACTCATCTTCATCTACACCCTAAAATAAAAAAAACTGAGTAGACCTGTTTTCAGATAATCTATCCCACAGCTCCAAAAGCTGTTTTGATAAACACTGTAGGATTCGACTGTGCAATAGAATTCTATTATGACAGGAAGAGCTGATCAGAAAGCAACAGTTCTGTGGAGCAGAAAGTGTGAGGTTTGGATGTCGGTAGTTATTTGGCACCAGAATAAAAATTAGAGCTGCCAAATGCTTGGGGGAAAACAAAACAGGAAAAAAAATAGTTATTTATTTTGTAAGAATTCATCAGTGTAGTAAAGCTGGAAAAAAAAGGACATATATCAGTCTCGGAAGAGCTCAGTTCCCAGGTGTGCCTACTAACTAACCAGATGGCTGGATAAAAAAGCACTAGCTACAATTTCATTTTAACATTCTTCACAGCAAAATAGACAAGACACATTCCCATAAAGATTTTGGAGAAACCCACAAATTCATGAAGAGGTTCAATAGGAATTATGAAAAAGAAAACTGTCATGGTCTGTACTACACAGAAGTAATTGACTTTTTTGCATAGAGTAAAGGGGCAAGGTGTGATTTTTTTGGAATGATTTTGAATGATTTATTGATCATTTTATCCATTAATGTCAGTGTAGAACAGCAGTTGTCCGTGTAAGAATTTTGTGTTAGTGTGTTCAAGTGAATATGAATTTGTAGTTTGTCTTTGGGTTATTGTAACCAGAAATTTGTTCCTTGGAATCATCCATGCAATAACTGTTCGTCTCTGAACATCAGGAACTTAATTTCTCCATTCAGCCAAGCTCTATTTGCATTACTGCTATTTTTTTGAAAGCCATATCAGAGGTAGTTAATTTTATAGTATGAAAATCAAATTTAGAGCTTCAGATGTTTGCAAAAGGGAAGTAGGAGAGCAAACATCTTGTAACGGGATGGAACATGCTTGTAACAGGATTGAGTCTAAAATGCATTCCTACCCCCCAGTAAAACTGGCATTTTTCCAGGTATTTCAGGAGGGAAGTAGGGATATATTAGAGATGATATTGAAATTTCTTCTATTTATGGGGTATCCTTGAATTGTGAGACTTTTATACCTAAGACTTTGAAAAACACTTTTGTTTACTTGCTATTTTTAATATTTAATTGGCATTAACATGCTTCTTTAATAATCAGGTGGTGAATTCCATATCAGAATGGTTTCTATTAAAAAATTATGAGCCAGATCTTAAGCTGCTGCAAATGAATACAGTATCACTAGCATTAGTAGAGTTATACAGAGTTATAGCAGGTTTTCTGAAACAGTTTCAAAAGTAATTAAAAAAAAAAAAGGCCAATGGAGTAACTCAGAGTTTTCATATTAATAGTCTTTTTTAACTCATATTTTATAAACACTATTATATGGCCTATATTTAGTAAAACAACATTGCTTCAAAATTAAATATTCCTTTCTGGGATGAAATGTTACAGTTTCAAAGATGCAGCATCCTATAATGGTGGCTAATAAAAGTTGTCATTGTGGCATGGTTAACTATGAACATAGGAGGAAATGTGGTGTCAGACTCTTACCAGAAGGAAAATTCCTCATGGTTTGGTTTGTGGGTGTTTTTGCAAGTTTATTTTTTTCAAAGGCTTTTAGAAAGCATTTGCTCTTTTGAGGGGAGAAAAAAAAAGAGCATAGTATCACTGTAGCACCAGTTGTTGGAGTTTCCGATGCTTATATTTCCTCTGCAAGATATTTTTAAAGTGATACTTTGGGGTTTTTATTGCATTTGTGGCATAGGAACTCTTTTCTCAGTAATGTATGTATGTGCTACGTGCACTTTGCTAACATTTACCATTTACTGCCACTTCTTTGGCCTCAGAAGAACTATGCCTTACTTCCAGTACTGCCAAAATGAGCAAAACCAACAGGTTGTGCCCAATCTGTTACTCTTAGATCTTGCATAACAGGGTGTGTTTATAGTAGCTAGGTATGAAACATGCTCACTAGTGCAGTGACAGATTCTGATCAAAGTGGTCCATGCAATCTCCACCCTGGCTGGCATGGCTACAGCCCAAGCCCACAGTGAAAGGCAGGGCTTCCAGCCACCTCTGTGGTCCTGGGATCAGCAGTGGGGTCATGATTTGCCCATGGTTCCCACAGCCCTTCTGGCACCTGTCGAGTGGAGGATTGAAAGGGTGCTCTGAGGCAGGTGGGAGAAAACAGTGTTTTCCTTTGCCACAGAGGAATCTTTTGACTCAGGGGAAATACCCAGGCAAGCACATCCCAGGAACATTAGACATTTTGTATTGCCAGAGCATTGCAAACTCAGTAAAATTGACTGAGGTATCAACAAGTCTCTAAAGATGTTGAAGAGTACAAGGGGTTCCCAGGATGGAGTAGTGGAAAGCTAGTCCTGATGTGGAAAAGAAAATTGGCTGAAAAGAGAGTGAGTGCTGAGATTTGGGCTACTTAATTGGTCTTTAGCCTTGCATTTTGTTTCTGTTAGAGGGGTTTTTTGTTGTTTTGTGGGGTTTTATTTTCCCTATAGGATAATGGGAAGTGATTCTTAAACCCTTATGAAATGGTTTCAAGTATAAAATAAAAGGCAAAGAAAAATACTTGCGCTTTTTTATGAACTCTCATTCTGGAAGTCTAAAATAGACTAAAATAAATCAGGAAGAGTATATCTCTGCTTTGACAGCCAAAGTCCTTTGGAAGTTTAATTTCACTGGCAGGTGTTGTATTAAGAAACAGCAGAGAAGCTTCTTACTACGGGGGATAAATTGCTTTTACAGCAAGAAGTGGGCGTACACACTGGGACAGGGCAAATGCCACTGTAAGCAATGGGTTGGCACTAAACATTAGCAGAATTGGGTTCTCAGTGATCCAGCTAAGTCTTCATCAGTTGTTTTTCATATTCTGTCTACACTCTGGCATAGCGACAGAGCAGCAGCACTGGCATTTGTTGAATACAACATTTTATATCCTACTGTCTGAAAGAACACAGTTTTAGTTGTGTACAGATGTTTAGGGTAAGATATGTAAAGAGAGCAAATTGCTTCAAATGCCATCTACTGATGGAATCTCATCTAGGAAATGCTTAATTCTGTTTCTTCCTGGTGACAGCATGCTCATCATTTGTATGTGTCCATTAGCTTCTAGAGATGTAAGCAGAAATGAAATTGAAGCATGTTTTAAGGGCACTGCCCAGCAGTTCACAGAGACTAATGTTACCCTCGTTTGCATTGCTGCAAAGCTTTAGCAACTGTTCTAGATTTTAAGAAATCGTAATATCAGGTTATAGGGAAATATTAGT